ATATATATATATATATATATATATATATATATGTGTGTGTGTGTGTGTGTGTGTGTGTGTGCTAGGGGCTGCTCAATGGAGCAGTGGATAGCAAGAAGGTTCTGGGTTTGATTCCCGGCCTTGGGTCTTTCAGCATTGAGTCTGCATGTTCTCCCTTAGCATGCGTGGGTTCTCTCTGGGTACTCCGGCTTCCTCCCACAGTCCAAATCATGACTGTTAGGTTAATTGGCTTCTCTAAATTCCTCTTAGGTGTGAGTGTGTGTGTGAATAGTTGTTTGTCCTGTTGGTCTCTGTGTTGCCCTGCGATGGACTGAACCATATAATATCTAATTTAACTTTCTATGCTGAATCAATTATGATTTTAATGACACTTGTAGGTCCAGTTTGTGTTAGCATGCATCATTATGCACTATTATCATGAAAGAATAAGATAAATATGATTAAACTCACAAGAGCGTTAGTTAAGCTTCTAAAATATTTGAAAGTATCATTTCTAAATGAAAGCAGCAACTGAAACTGTAAACGCAGATGAGATTTTGTGTTTGCCTGATATTTTGGTATCTTTGCACAGAAAGCAGATTTGCTCAACTGCTAATCCTGCCTTTTTGAAGTCCTCACTGGATTATTTTCCTGGCAGCTTTTTTGCTTTCTTCTTCATCAGAGCTTCCAAGTGATTAAGAGATGTTTTACTGTGAACCCTGCAAGGTTGAACTACATTACTGAAATGTATTAAAAATAAAATTAAAATAAACAGCATATCGTATAATGTGTAGAACTCTCTTGGTTAAATAATGGTCTCAATTCAAAAGTGAATGTGTTACATGAAGGTAAATGTTCATAATATGATCCAGGGAGGCTAGAGAAGGCAAACATTTGTGTTACTACTTACTGATTAATTATGCCATTCTTGGCAGATTACAGTCAGTTAATCTGGATTCATAACTAAAAATGTTCCAAATCCACTGAATACATTTACTTTTACCCAGGAATCCCATGTGAACACATGTTAATTTCACATGTGAAATTCATGGCACTTTTCTGGAGGTGGATATTTCCCATCTATAATATATCGATACCAAGTTATCTGTATCAGATGATTCCATCATGATGAGATTCATACTTTAGTTTTAGATTCACTTTTTAATGCACCACTGCTGTTTCGTCAAAAATGCAACAGCAGCTGAGAAAACATGCAAATGTTTTTCATTTAAAAATCAAAATGTTCAAAATTCTGAAAAATGTTAAAGCCAAAAGTATACTTTAAAAGTCAGAAGTTTAATATCATACTTTGACATTAAAAAGTATTAATATTGATATCGAAATTGGCAATACCGGCCCGTGATTGCTTCATAAATAATGAAAATAATAAAAACACCGTCAAACAACTTGAACCTTTTATTTTTTTAAAAGATATAATTACATACATTTTTCAGTAGTTTACATATTATGACTAATAATGAGCTGAACTTAACTGCATTGCTTGATAACAATTAGAATGCTTTTATTAACTGGGAACCTGTATGTATGATTGGTTTGAACTCACTGACAATCCTGCTGTGAATTAAAACTATTTAAATAACCAAATTTAATGAAAACAAAAATCTATTTAATCGGGTTATCTCGGAGATTAAATGTTTAGTAATCAAAAATATTAAAATGTGACAAAAAACAACATTACATGCAATTCCATACATATACATATATTAACAGTTATAGTACAAACAAATAACATCATTGTTTTACATAATTAAAAGTACATTACAAAGAAAACCTTGTAAAAATGGTCCTCAGAGCTGACAGAGCCTAGTTATTTATAGAAAGAACTATGATGATAAAATAATAAGGCAGACTGAATAACTTTTTCGACTGTAACTTTCACCGTAGGCCTATATTTAAATGTTCACCGCTTTTAAAGGAGAAATCCGGTCATAAGGAACAATCAATGGATCATTATTTATACCTAAAATTGATACGAATGCGCTGATTTAATGAATTTAAGGTTAATCAATAAAAATAAAAAAATAATTTTTGTCACAACTACTGAGTCTGAGAGTGGCCATTTTTGCCCAAATATAGTAACCCCTCACTCCTGCCATCTTCCAGCAGTGATGTCACGGTGCGGTAAGCCTAGCGCCATTCTCCCCGCTTTACAAGCAAAATCAATGGGAACTACTAGACACATCTGCAATCAACAACAATTATTGAAGATTTCCAGAGGACTTCACCATTGAAATTCACCAGAGCTATAGTGAAACTGACAATACCCACATGTATGGCAGTTGGATGCTGGAATACATCGGTTAAAATGTATTAGTTATTTCACCTTTCTGATTCCTGATCCTCCACGGACGAGTTGGTCGTTGGATTGCCAACTTGAAGAGGGAGGATTTGCCATCGAACTTCTGGCCAGAGAAAAAACCCGTAATATGGAGCCAACATTTGGAAGAAGAATGTTTTCAAGATGACTTGGATAATAGCGCGTTGTGACAAACACCAGATACAGCACTGGGACTTGATCAACTGCCGATACCGCAGTGACGTCACAAACCAGTAGGTGGCAGTGGTGTTCTTTGACAAACATGTATGCCTCCAGTTAGAAAAAATAAAATTATTGTTTTTATTATTTTACCGATTAATGCTAAATTAATTAAATCACCTCCAATGTGTTAGTTTTTGGTATAAATAATGATTCATTGGTTATTCCTTTCTGACCGGACTTTAAAATGAGTTCCTGCTCACTGTTAGGTCCATTGTTTTACCAGACCTGCCTAAAGTAGCTAGGTCTAGCTAATTTGACTTCATTTGAAACTGTAAAATTTAGTTCTCAAACATAAAATCAGGGTTTTTTCATTGTTGATATAAGGAGGCTAGGCGGAAGTTCAACTGATGAAACTCATTACTCTTCTACATCAACCTGCGACACAGCCAATCAGCTTTAAACCACAGCCAATCGGCATCCAAAGTTAATCTTGAAAGGCCTCCGATACGCAACTATCGGATGGGTACCATTCATTCATCGTGCCCGCTGAACGGCTGCTAGTTTTACTCACATGCCTGGAAGATGTCTAGAGCTACTACCACAGATGATCTCGCTCTCCAAATGGAATTGAATGATTGAGATTAGCTAGAATGAATAGAAGGGGTAGAGCATAGCCGCCTGTGGCCCGACCTGCCTGTCACAACTCCAGTCCAGCGCGCGGAGGACGTCATACACACTCCGCTTTGTTTAAAAAGATATAAATATAAGAAATATAACCGCGGATGTCTGGGGGATTCGCCTACATGTTATGAATGCAGGCGTACCATAAAGAATAAATTATTAACAGTTTAGTCTGTGCCTTCAACTCGTTGCCCGTAGAAAGACAGTACTTGGATATAGCTAAACCGAATATCTTCAGAACAGTTCCAAATGACACAAAACTCATACGGGTGAGTAGAACATGATGTAATAACGTAAAATCAAGGGGCTAATGTAAAAAAAACGGTGTTCTCCTTTAAGTGAGACACAGATTCATTTTCAGCCAGAAAATGATCATCAGTGCACATCTAAAAACTGTAATTTGTTTTTTACCATAAACTTTTCAATAAAACTATCCAAAAAAAAAGAATTAGATCCAAAAGAGCAATCATTTAGTTTCTGTGTCGGAGCATATAACAAGAAATTTAATTAACATTACATCTTCATTACAGGGGCCATAACAGGAGCCAGGACCAGTTCTACGTCGGCTCTGGTCCCTGTAGGACCAGCCATTAGGACCGGCCATTAATTCTAAGTTAAATAGCCAGTTAAAGGGATGCTTGGAGCCTTGGTCTGAATGGAAGGTTTTAGGTTCAGTGCAGTAACTCCAAAGTTGGGATTCCCCAGGCTGCTTTACCAATTTAAATTCAGAATTTCACTCAGGCAGCTGACCGGTCCAGAATGACGGAGTTTGATCAAGTTAAGCATTCAACAGTGGTCTCTGCATCCAATGTTGGTTCGTATTTTTCATCCAATACTAGGGAAGCTAAACCTCCTCTGTAAATTCCATAAACTATTGGTAAAATATGCATTGGCAAACTTCATAAATGTAGCCATTAAACTGCATTAAAGATGTGCTAAAATGCACCTGATTAATAAGCTGTTTATTCAGCTCTCAGAGGTGATCTCTCTGCTGTGGAGCAGCAGGACTCTGCTTATCAGCCTCTCTATGAGAAATCCATGAACTCTGTTCTTGGTCTCTGAAACTTATTTTTCCAGAGCGTTTCACGGCAGCATGTGTTTTATGTCTTTGTTAATGCAATAGGTGAGGTTTGGATTTAATTAACACCTTTGAGCCTCCACTGTTCCAGAGGGCAGCAGCCGCCACTGTCCTATTGTGAAAATTAGGTCAAATTATATTTGCCTTTTAATCTGAACCCATTTTAATCTGATTGTGAAATTTTAAGGATATAAACGCAGTGATCGCACCGTTTAAGACTGCACTGGACAGAGCATGTGAACGGAGGGAGCACCTCGCAATTCCCGCTCCCTGTTCGCTTATTCGCTCGCCGCTTAAAGTTGCACCAGGACACTCCGCTCAAAATCCAATCCACACTCACCTTAACCTTCTCGTCGCTCTGGTGAAATCACTCCCCACTCGCTAAAATTTTAAGAAGGCTATTTCTGACATTTTTCCTTCATGTAATTATGCCAGGGCTCCTGGGACACAAAGAGTTTGATTTAATGATGTGACAGATACATGTGTATTGTCTTATTTGAAATGGGAGCTGGTTTCGGTGCTTGTCGGCCTGGCTCTGTGTTTCCTGGACGGGGCCGCCTTTTACAGCTGCTTTTTGTATCTCTGCTTCTGTCTCCTTGAAGCCCAATCGCCTCAGCAGATGGCCGCTCACACTGAGCCTGGTTCTGCTGGAGGTTTCTTCCTGTTAAAAGGGAATTTTTTCCTCTCCACTGTCGCTACAAGCATGCTTAGTGTGAGCGATTGCCTTTGAGTCCATGAGTCGATGCAATCAACTGGTTTTCCTTAGATAGAAAACTGTGAATCATTGTGACTGGATGATCTGGTTGAACTGTAAAGTGCCTTGAGATGACTTGTGTTGTGAATTGGCGCTATAGAAATAAACTGAATTGAAATTATTTAACTTGCTATTAAATGATCGCACTGTTTCCCAGCTGTGAACGTAACACCTCGCTCCATTCATGTTGCCCCGCTTTTCGTATTTAATTATTACTTTATTTTACTAGATAACATTAAAAAAGGTCACTTTGCAGCACATTGGAAATGAGATAATAGCGTATAATGCATGTATGTGATCCATTTTCAAAAACAAGCTCTTACCACAACAATCACTTTATGCAAACTCACTCTGTATTGTTAAGTATAATTAGAGTATGTTTTTATGATATTTTATCCCAGTTTTTATCACACAATTGCACGGCTTGTGCAACACATATTTTTTAAGGAAAAAAAAAAATAGTTGAACTGCAAGTGTTTTACAATTAAAAAAACATGTTGAAAAAAATCAAACTTACATCAACTAAATCTTATTTTACAAATGATACACTTCAACATTTTTAATTGACGTGAGCTCATCGTAACGAACTGTAGCGGAGCTCTGCGCTCCACCATATTTCTTCCACTCCGCTTACATGCTCTGCCACTGGGCCAATTTAAAAATATCCTTGGCAAGAGATTGGATAGACTCTAAATAGATCAGCAGTCAATCAAAAGGCTGGATACAAACACAAAATACAAACATTTGCATGTTAACCTGTAACATTGACATTTCCTTCTATGTCTGTAGCATTAAACTTTAATAACCCTGGTCCTAACAGATGGAACTTCTCCCTTTTACATTCATTGTTTCACCAAAGTCTCTGTCATGCTATGTCCCTTTTCCCATCTGTGAACTTCTATATTTAGCTGAGCCCGTGACCTGGCTGCTGCAAACTGAACCCTGTTCCACACATTGTCAAAACAAGGGGCTAAACTTGTCCAACAGGTGCTGGCTCTGTACCCGTGGGTAGTCTGTAGGCAGTACACCAACCCCGTCTTTAAACAAGTTGACTTTATACTGTTGCCAAGCAAATAATAAGGGTCCCTCTCTGCTCATGAACAAAAGGGATAAAGACGCTAAGCTGTGGAGTTGATTAATGATGAATGACACAGCAGATGCGTGTATAAAATATCTCTCAGGTCTCATACACAACCATATTGTTTCATGAGATTAATCAGGGATGAACATATTACAGCCATGTATTTTACATAGGTCTCTAAGTACCGGCTTTCTCCTGTGACAAATTGGAACATCTCCACACGTTGTCCCGGTTTGTGGAAACATGAGAGGTTTTGGGCAGAGTGTCAGAAGCTGAGCCGTTCGTTGTGACATCCACATGAGAATGAAAGTCCGCATCAACAGCTGTCGCCTCGGTTGCTGCAGTTGAAACAACCGTCTCCATTCGGCTTGCACGGTATATGCTGACCTGGAAGCAGAGAGGGTAAACATTTTTTTTGGGGGGGGAAGATATAAATACACCCAGTCAGAGTAGAGTTATTTACCATGGACTGAAGATAGATGGCAGCGTCCTTCAGCTCAATTTCACTCTGAATTTCTCTTATTCTATCCAAAAACTTCCAAAACAACCAAGTTCCCTAACACGTTGGGTTTCTGTGTGAAATATAAACAAACAAAAAAATTAAACCCCATTTCGATTTAGAAACAGCACAAAGACATGTGACGTCTTCATGTCTTTGTGCCTCCATGCAGGGGTCCAAAACATCTTGCGTGGTCAGCCAGGCCAACAATTTACCCTAACGACCCCCCTTTCAGAGGCATAGACCAGTATTGGGTATTGCAGGCTAACTAAGAACCCAAATGACTCCCCATTCCTAATGGGTGGACCCGTTCTTCCGGTTCAATTTGCATGTTTTCTAAGCCAAAATAAGGCTCTGTTCTTGGTCCACTCCATAAAGCTTTGAACTTTAGGCTATTTCTGACATTTTGAATTGAAAAAGCTTCCTGGATGGGAAGCGAACCGTCTTCAAACTTGGAAACAAAGTCCTGTGGATTGTCTTTTTTACTTTTTTGGAAAGTCTTCATGTGTATTAATATAATTGATTCCAGGGATACAGTGGGATGAATGAAATATATAACTATCAAATAAAGACAGAAGCAACTACTAACACTTTGATATTTAAATACTGAATGTAAATAGTTACATGAGTCAAGGTTTTACAGATTTTAAGCTATATTGATCCGGCCATTCGATTAGAAACATTGGCCATTTCTCAATATGTTTACTTGTGCATTCTCATGTACTTGTGATCAGTCTTACCTCTAGTACTCTTCTAATTAACAAGAACAGCAGACCAAGAATGGACAAAGTCCAGGGATGTTGTTCTTGCCCCTTTACCCAGCATGCATCAGAGCAGACTTATCAATTCTTGAGATTGACAGCTATCCCATTATGCACTGTGGCAGCTGCAGCTTCAAGTGGAGGATTAATTGAGCTCTGAGTGTTAAGTTAAAAGTTCTCTTTTCTGTTGCCATTGGTCTAAAAAAGTATGTTTAAAGATCATTTGAGGTGAGAACATTATACTTTAAAGTGTCACTATATGGTCCATTTGCCGATTTAGCGCTTAATTTAAAAAACAATTTCTGAAGTTGAGAGGACCGCGTCAACCAGCGGACTTCCGAGGCTAACAGCAGTCAGGGCTAACGTTAGCCCGTCTGCAGTTACCCTCTCTCTGCATAGCTGTGTCAGGGTTCTGTGTGCTGTGCTGATTCTGTACCACAGGTGGTTGTTGTTGACAGGTGGGCGTGGCCCTGCACCTGCAGCTCGTTGGGGCTGCCCTGCTGGAGCTTAAGAGGAGCTTTCAGTCAGCTGATGGACGCCAGAGTGTTAAACCGTTGTGGTAGGCCTAGGCCTCTGTCCTGTCGACAGATCCTCGTTAACCTGATGTTTTGGATTCCTGGTTCTAACTTGTCTCCTGTCTCCCTCAGTTCTTTGTGCTCTGGATTGCTCATCTTGCTCTGTCTCCGTGCTCTGAAGATTGGTCTCTAAATTGCTGCTGATATTTTGCTCTGGTGTTCTGGCGTGTACAAGAGAACTCCTTTCCTGGATTCACATTGATTCCTTCAGCTGCTCCTCGAACCTGCCTGCGCTGTGGTGCTGCTAGGGCCCCCGCCTACGTCGCACCTGCCGCTCAATCCCCTCCTCCCATCGGAAAGTTGTGAGTTACAGAACCCTTTCCTCCACTCACCCTCCCCGGATAGGTTTTCCGTACCTGGCAGTAAGCGAAGCGGCAACAACGCAGGTTCTCCTAACTTTCTTAGTTTTAATCAGTTTCCTCTTTCCTCCCACAGAGCCCCAAACACTTTCGTTCCGAACTTCGCCTGCGGCTCCCATTCTGAACCATTCATTGTTGCGTGTAGCCTAAATAAACATCTTAAACCGCTTCTTGTTCTCCGTCTGCTTTTCCATGTGGGCCAAACACCTTAAAACCATGACAAGCCGTGTGTGAAGTACCGCTAGCCCTGACCGCAGTTTTTTTGTTTTATTTGGCAAAATGTTAATTTGATTATTGTTTATCTGACTGTGTTCATTTGTTTTCTCACCATGAGAAAAAAACAGGAGGTGAAATGCAGCTTCAGACGAGCTGAGTGTGTGGTGATTTGATCAGTACGCTTCTCTTCCAATATTGACAATAATGACCCATATTTATGCTGCGTGCTCCTGGTCTCCCCAAGTACATACTTTCCTGTGTTCTTCTCAAGAACATACTCTGCGAGGACATGAGTCCGTACACGTGTTCTTGTGCATTGAGAAACAGCCATCATTTTAACAGTCAATGACGTCAAGAATCTAGATGTTGTGCAGAGGCTTAAAGTGACTATGAGGAAGAGGAAAAGAGGGATTCAGGTTAATCTAAAGGTGCAATGGGAACTGCTAATCTACTGGGATATTTATGCACAAGTGTCTCTCAGGTACACAGAAGGGTTTTGGAAGAGAAAATGTCGAGTCAGTATAATTTTTGTGTCTGAATTGCCTGTCTGATGGTTTTAGAGGAGATTTAGCAAGAATATTTGTTAAAACTAATTCTTGGAATCAAGGTATACAGAGTACTATCTCTAAACATAGCATTTAGATTTTTTAAGTAGATGGGCAGAGGTTTTAAATTTGGCATGTAAGTAGATCTCCCAAAATCATGAAAAAAAGTCTCTTGGTTGTGTGCTCTAAACCCCACAGGAATACGGCCATGTTGGGTCATAGGTTGATTTTTGGCAATTTAGTTTAACTGTAATTCGACACTCAGGGATGAATGCAAGAGCGGGCAACAGAAATCAGTTTGTCCATTCACAAGCCAGAAATATCAGGAAATCCAATGAAGGAAAAGGTAATAGTGTTTTTTAGTCTGATTTCCCCAAAGTCTTTGACCCAAGTTTGCAAATTGCAGTTGCTGTGGCAACTGAGCTCTATCACAAGCAGGGACAATCTGCTCCCTTCCCTTGGGCTTTAATGTACTCACAGCCTTTTCTTCCTTCCTAACTCTTGCAAAAAAAAAAACAGGAGTTTGGTCTGTATTAAGTCGGACCTGTTCCCGGTGCATGTTGGACTCTGCTACGGCTACCTCCTGTTAGGAGTTAACAAATATAGGAAGTTATTATATTTCCTTCACATTTTTGGATCTGGTCACAGCTCCAGATATGCGGACTATCTACAGTACAACACACTATTGACTGGTTGTGGGGATGTTAGACATTTTTTTTTTTGTCTTTTACCATGCTACATTGGGCACCTTTTTATAGAGTATATTTTCAATGGACTAAAGCTGGACACTTTGCATAGAAACGATGGAGCTGAAATTCAGCAGTTTCAGGAACTGGGAACTGCTGAGTTTGGGGAGTGCAGAAACAAGTCAGGGTACAATCTAGTGTTGCGCCGCTGCCATTTTTTGACCCCGATACCCCATACCTGGCTGTGCAGTATTGGCCCATACCAATACCATACAGATACCATCAGTTTAAAATTGATGTGTGTGTATAAATGAAGACTAATACAAAGTGAATCCAGTAGAACTTTTTATTACCTACCTATAATGAGTGACAATAGTTGAATAAACTTTTGGCTCTCAAAATGGTATCGGTGCCCTATTTGTTGGTACTTAACGATACAACCATTTTAGTGCTGGATCGGCGCCCCGCCTGATACTGGTAACGGTGCAACAGTTGTACAATCCTGTGCCGTGAACAAATGAACATTTAAATATGACATTCCACTTGAAGGGAGGATTCCCATCTTTGACGATCTGATTCTTTCTGCCTCTCTGTTATGATGCTCATAAAACATGTAAAGACTTATCCATCAGGGGGTGTGGGGACACCTGGACCCCAAGACTCTTATGGTTCAAGGCTGCTGTGATAACAGAGGGTAACCTAATGGACTTGTCCTAACACTGTTGTCACCAGTCTTGTTCGTAACATTTGTGGAAAGAATTTCTAGGTACAGCTAGGGGTGTAAATATTAATTGTTTTGTATCGACGCATCAATCCAACAGCCGACGATCCGATGCATCGACACCGCAATGGTTTGGATTCATGTTTTTCTTTCCTCTGGTCTATTTTTATCCATTTGCTCCTGAGCGTAATTCTGAGTCCTGTGCTGCAGTGGCGCTAAACCTATTTTGCCCTTCTACGTTGCTCCCTTTAGCCACTACCCTCTTCCGCATGCACACACAACACACGACAGACATGGCGGAGGAGGTAGGCAAGGAAAAAGATGATGACTTAAACACCCTTTGCAGGTTCAAGTCATTTGTGTGGAAGTATTTCAGGTTTCATGAGGATGGCAGAAAACTGATGCAGGATATGGCTATATGCAGAACTTGTCCTTGCGTAATTTGCTACTGTGGCAAGACATCCAATTTGTTAGCTCACCTGAGAAGATGGTGTCCAAGGCGAAGACAAAAGCACAGCCCTCTACATCGCCACTGACAAAATTCCCTCAGAAGTTTTCACACAGCTCTAAGAGGGCTAGGAATATATCCAAGGCAATGGCGTTCTTCATATGTACCGACATACGTCCCTATTGCGTTGTGGAGGACGAAGGCTTCCGATACCTGCTCGACACTCTGGAGCCGAGGTATCGCATTCCATCACGACAGCACTTCAGCCAATCATTGATTCCAAAGTTATATGCCGAAGTTCATGATTGTGTTATTCAGGAGGCACAGCATGTAGTTGTAACATGTGACGGTTGGGCTTCCTGCACTACAGAATCCTTCATCAGGGTGACATGCCACTTCTTTCACCATGGCTGGGAAATGCACAATTATGTGTTACAGATGCGTGTGCTGGCGGAGACAAATTCAGAAGTGAACATTAGACATGTCCTACGAGCTGCATGTGAAGAGTGTGGTCTGAGTGACAAAGCATCAACCCTCTTCATGGATAATGCATCTAATATGAAGAGGGCTGGGTAAG